CCCCCTTTGGTGCCTCTCGTACCAGGCTCGGCCTTGTCTCAGGCCACCTGGAATTTAGGCCCTGTGATATGTGCATGTGTGGTCCTACACCACATTTTGAGACCAATTTGAGATATGTCATTAAATGGTTTCAGTAGCACATGGCTAATGAGATGTAATATCAGATATGGGATTTTTTTGTATCTCATAGGAATTTTGACTAATTCTCAACTCCATTTCCAATGTCTGTTCCTTTAGTGCACGAACCAAACTCATGCAATCCCTGAAAGAGTACAAGCCCCCTGTTGATTCAGTACCTCAGGCTCGGATTCTTCTAATTGGTTTAGTTGGTGCTGGAAAATCGAGCTTCTTCAACTCCATCAACTCGATCTTCCGTGGCAACATAACAAGTCAAGCAGAAGCAGGAGACATGGGAACCAGCCTGACCTTAAAGGTAATCTGCACAAGCGGTGTTGCTACTCATACTTGTATGCATAGTTTACCTAAACCTGGGCAGATTGATAGTTATGTCTACCAGCAGGAAGTGAAACCATCTTGCTCAGCTCCTTCATTTCCGGCCTTTCATGTTTGTATGAGGATGTGGTATGAAATATCGCACACTTGCTGCATCCGCAGCAAATTGCTGATTTTGTAATACTCTTGCAGCAGTCTCTATATTCTGCCCACTGCTCCAATTGTGATAAATATTGCAATTTATAAAGCAAAAAAAGAGTTAAAAATAAATCAGTTTCTCACAAACATGTCTATGAGTGATTTAAACAACAAGGATGAAGGTGAGTATGATTGTATGCAGAGCTCATGTAAAGGTGGTGGCGGTACACTTTAAACTAATTTCAAAAGTTGTACTATAAGTACATATTACTATAATGTAATATAAGTTTTTGTTTCCTATAACAGAATACAAATGTTCTACCAAAACCTAACCACCTGCTCTCAGTGAATTTTGGCACCATGATTAGTAACTCGAGAGCACAAATTATTAACTTGAGCATATGGATTAGTAACTCAAGTGCACAAATTAGTAACTCAAGCGCACAGATTAGTAACTCGAGAGCACGGATTAGTAACTCGAGTGCACGGATTAGTAACTCAAGACCACAAATTAGTAACTCGAGTGCATTAATTAGTAACTTGAGTTGACAAATTAGTAAATCAAGAGCACAAATTAGTATCTAGAGTGCACAGATTAGTAACTTGAGTGCACAAATTAGTAACTAGAGAGCACGAATTAGCAACTCAAGAGCAAAGATTAGCAATTACTACAAGATAATATTTTTCCTGCCATGATACCTAAGGGGCTCTGTAGATACATATGATGAATCTACTAATGTAATACTATATGATTCACCCCTATTGCGATGCAGTGTGATTCAATGCGATACGATGCAATGCAAAAAAAAGATACTGTGAATTTTATTTTGTACAGTTAGATTTCGTTCATTCTTCTTAAGCATACAGCAAATCATATATGAACTTAAAGTATGCCATTTTTCCTTCACATATTTGTGTCTCCAGTATCTCTAGATGTTAGAGAGGATGCATCCCAAGTTCATCACAATTTGTATCCATTACACACTTTTTTAATCGGGACAATCACATGATGAACTTTCATGCTGGTGCATCGATGCAAGTCTTATCATCCATAGCTGGTGTGTGTGTTGCTCTGCAGTCGCACCACCAGAACCAAGCAGACCAATTACAATTGTTGCGGTCACCATCACTGCAATGTGTAGTTACATTTCTGGGGAGGTGCGACACAGAAGTAAAAAATCATCCTTTATACCAGGGTTCTTCAAATCTGGACCTCAATTCCAAATCCAGGCCTTGTTTTCAGCTCTCCCAGTTAATTAGTTTAATAATTACTGATTCTGATTGGTCAGAGGCTTCACACCTGACTGACAGGTAAAGGAAGGCTGGAAAACCAGCAGTGCTCGGACCTCGAGGACCGTGGTTTGAATAACTTTGCTTTATACTAGCTAGGGAAAGTTCCACACACTGGCACTGTGTTAACACAGGAAGTCAGGAAAATCACAACCTACAGTATGTGAGAAACAATCCTAGCCAAATGGCCACGGAAACTTATTAGCACATCCATTGTTAGGTGTCACTGATAAAACAGACTGACAAAATGTCACCAGACTGGATTGCATTAATATCTCATTAAGCACCTACTAGGCATCTTAAAAGTAGGTGCTGTTCAAAAATCTTAGGCACCTGTGAACATGTTTTTATTCAACAATAAGTGTTATATTGTCCAGAAGAGGACTATATAAAAGTAGAACATATACAACTGATTACTAAAACACAGTAATAGTAACAGTTTGTTTTGTTTTGGGAGGGATTCCTTTATTTATTTTTTCATTTTTGTTTTTAGCGAAATGCCAGTAAACTGCAGCTTTAGTTCCCAAACCGCTGTAAACACATATATGACTTCTCAAATGCAGCAGTCTGGAAACAGCAGCAGGTAGAATAATACAAAAAACTATATATAGAGTAAAACTTAACCTTTAGTTTTTCAGTTTTTGGAGCTTGGATTAAATACCATGACAAGTTATTTCCCTTTATAACAGTGGTTCCCAGCCTTTTTTGACCTGTCACCCCATTTTAAAAATTTCTGGCGACCCCATAGACATTTTTTTTTCTAGAATTAGTTTTTGATCATGTTTGTTACACCGTGTTTCAAATTCAGAATACCCAGATTAATGCAAAAAGTCACATTTTATTTTCCCTGATCACATGTACATTTACAAGGCTGCAGGTGGTCGCGATCATTTTATTTGGACTCATTTATATTTATTGATATTTATGAACGTGAAAGAATACAGTTGTTTAAGATTGTATGTAGAGCTGGGCGATATGGCCTAATAATAAAATCTCATATTTTTTCACAATAAATCCGATTTTCGATTTTAATCGATTTTCCCCTCCCCTACTCAAAATCAAACTACAGATGACAAATAAATGGTTCAAAACAAGTTTTAACTTTATTTATTTATTTTTTTCTTACTTTAGGCTTAAAGTGCAATCTGACAAGCCAAAAAAGATGCTTGTAAGTGAGATGGCAGGCAACGCCATTGTAAAAACTTTCAACATGTTAATGAATCCTGACTTTTCCACAGTATGTATGGGCATCATGTCTTTTGCAGTATACATCACAACAGCATTTGTTATCGCCTCCCACCGTGCCCCATTCTTATCATATGGCACACAGTTGAAAACGTGTCAGGGACGGTTGCTTGCTTAACTTTGGATGTTGGTGCTGTGCGTTTTTTCATTTCACTTCTCCCACTCCGCTGTGTGCCTCTGCTTTACGTGCTGGAATAACTTTGTTGTGCTGCTTCCTTTGGTTGCAACAGTTTTTAAACAGACTTTGCAAGGAGGACTTCTAGTCTGTGTCCGACGGCGCGAAACCGAACCAATTCCATGTTACAGACGTAGCAACACCTTTCTTGTGCACAAGCTCCAGCTTTTCTCCTGTAGTCCAATAGAGTCTGGCTGCAGATCCACTAAGAAGCACATCCATTGACATGCAGGACATCCACTGACATACAGGAAATGACATCACAGATCCACTGAGACGCACAGCCATAGATATCTTCTATGATACATCCATTGACAGGCAGATCCGTTGATGTCACAGATTCACTCTGAAGCACACATTACTGCTTTACAACAGCTGCTCCTTCTCGATTTTACAATTTAGTTTTAGTTAATTTAAAAATGGTTTGTAGTTATCACTTGTTTGTATGCATATATTTCTAAATTATAAAGATTACATTATTTAAAATAGTTTGTGCTTATCACGTATTTGAATTATACATTTTTAAAAGTAGTTTGTACTTATCAAATTACAAGTAATGCAATTCTTAATTAGAAATAAAATGTACTAAAATTAAAAATTGTGTACTTATCAGCTGTAGTCCTGATTGTGACTGTCAATAGTGACCAGATTTTTTCCCCCCTCAATTCAATTCAATTCTTTTATTGTCATGTGTACAAGTACGAGTACTGTGTACAATGAAATGCTTGCTTGCATGTGCTCCTGCAGACAGTGAACATAGACAAGACGGCTCCCAGATAGTAAAATCTTTCTGGCCCGGATGTGGCCCACATCATGCATAATCATCTGGCCCACATACCGCATGGAATGACGCCGATTGAGCGGACCGCTCTCGGTTGCCGCATCAGGTTAACATCTGGGCCAGAGCAGGGCCTGATGTTAGCCATGAGTGGCCAGGCTCTGTCTGAGATCTGGCCATATTATGGCCCATTACCAGTTTCTGAACCTCACAGATGTCAACCTCGTAAGAGCTACTTTTCAACAGGAAATGTATACACTCCCTGATTAGGCTTCAAATGTGTTTAGAAACAACAAAAGTCCACCTGCGTGAAGTTGGCCCCCCATATGTTTCAGATTTCAACCAAACTGGTCTCAATCGTATGTGCCGCGTTTGTGCCGGATTGTGCCGTTAAAATTTTTGTTTGTGCTGTTATAGTTTCTGAGATATAAATGTGTGTTTACATGGTGACTCCATCAGCGTGAAGTTGGCCCCCCATTTGCGTCAGATTTCCACCATACCGATCGCAATCGTGTGTGCTGCGTTTGTGCTGGTTTGTGCCGTTAAAACTGTCCATTGTGCTGCTTTAGTTTCCGAGATATTAATGTTGTTTACATGGTCACGTGACACCAGCGTGAAGTTAGCCCCCCATTTGTGTCTGATTTCCACCAAAACGATCACAATCGTATGTACTGCGTTTGTGCTGGTTTGTGCCGTTAAAACTGTCTTTTGTGCTGCTTTAGTTTCTGAGATATTAATGTTTGAAATGTTGTCCCCCCTCCCATTTGCGTCTGATTTCGACCAAACCGATCGCAATAGTTTGTGCCGTTTGAAAGTTGTCTGTATTTTTATTTTTCTGAGTTATATCTCTTAGTTTATGCCTTTACGTGATCGCCGTATAGCGCTCAGGCTTGTGTTTCTCATGTTAACAGAAGGTGGAGCGTTTGATGACTCCGCGATAAAGCTGCACGTACTTAGTCAGCCCCGCCAGCCAGATAATGCATTTCAAGATCGTGCTGAATAAATTCAGGTTCTCAGCGGGTGGGTACTGTCGTTTTGAGGTGGACACACCCTTTACATTTACAGCATTTAGCAGACACTTGTATCCAGAATAACTTCCATTTTCAATTTGGGGTTAAGGGTCTTGCAAATGAATCCAACTTCACCCAGCCAACACATCCATGTGGGGCCCGCATGGGATGCACTTGGGCTGACATGGGAAACCCAAGTGGGGCCCAGTCAATTTTATCCGCAGTTTCCATGGTGGCCCCACATGGGTTAGCCCACATGGGCTAATGATGAGCCCCTGATGGGCTCCATATACACTGAAAAAAAGAACATGTTGGATTTACTTAATTCAATAGTGGACAGTGGT